TTTATGTATTTTATACATATTTTATATTTTTTAGCTAAATTATTAAGTTTTATAATTATTATATATATTTTTTTATTATATGATCAGTCCGACTAGTTGATCCAACGGTTGAACCAGTGAACCATTGACCCGATCCCCTTGCCTGTTCGATGGCTGATCCGGTTCTGATAACATTGACATAAAGGCATCGACCGTAAACCGAACGAGGTTTTTAATTTGGGTATGGATGACATATTTGATTGAATCAAATAAAAAATTAATTTAAATATGTAAAAAATAATCACAACACGACACGACACGACACCTTGATAATTGAAAAAATTAAAGAGCAATGCTATTGAGACCTTATTTACTAACCTAATTCACTATGATTTTTGGATTGACTGTGAGCTCAATTAAATATTTGAACTTTGTGTTGATTCAATGGTTCTAATGATGTGAATGTCAACAAATTATGTCAAATTTGTATGTTCAAATAATTTTTTTTTTTAAAAAAAACAAAAGTAAAAACAAAAAGATGTTTGTCTTGGCATCTTTTTCGGCGTGAAAGGAAAAGTTGGGATTAAAATGTTCTCTTTAGCAACTTTTTCACCTTTTTAAATGCCATAAGCAAAGCACCCACGTACCGTACCCCACCCCACCCCAACCCATCCAACCCAACCCAACCCAACCTAACCCACCCCAGTTGGGATTTTTACAGGAAAAAAAGCAGACACCTTTGCGTTCCTTACCGACTTTATATCACCCGTTACCAGGGTTTGAATATGGTACGTCTACAAGTTTATTTACAGAAATTAAAAAAAAAATAAGAAAAGAAAAGAAAAGGAATGGAAGGTACAGTTTCCCAAGAACCGACTACACCTGTGAGTGCAAGAAGGGTAGGCCAGGACCCACTAGAATGCTTTTTCAATCTCTATCTTTTGTCTACATGCGTAGAACNAGAAATTAAAAAAAAAATAAGAAAAGGAATGGAAGGTCCAGTTTCCCAAGAACCGACTACACCTGTGAGTGCAAGAAGGGTAGCCCAGGACCCACTAGAATGCTTTTTCAATCTCTATCTTTTGTCTACATGCGTAGAACTTACTCTATTCCATGACTTTTGTGGGTCCGATATATCTACTTCGGTAGTTACATAATTGCCCCTATAGGCTCCACCCGTTAGTACCTAGAACAAAAATCAATATGGTCAGTGTCAGGCCAAGCATATTTTGATGGACTAAAATAACCTTCTTATATAATATGATGAACTTTTTCAATAGGATTGTGATAAATTCTGGAAAATTTAATTAAATTTGATATTTGATCGTTCAAATTATATAATTAATCGGATTTAATTAAAATTTTGAACTAGTTGGATATTGTTATTAGAGTTTGCTTTGACTTGAATATAATTTTGTTTGTCTAACACTAATTTTATTCCTAAANATAATTAATCGGATTTAATTAAAATTTTGAACTAGTTGGATATTGTTATTAGGGACGTGAGGTTTAACTCAATTCAGTTTGCTTTGACTTGAATATAATTTTGTTTGTCTAACACTAATTTTATTCCTAAACAACTTAAATTTCTCCGTGTTTATTATAGCGAAAGTCCATGCATATTTTTTCTTTTTAGGTGCCCTCTTTTCTGATAGGTTTTCTAGAATGTGAATTTTTAAGGTTTGAATTTTTGTGAGATTTTTTTACTAAAAAATAATTATTTTTTGATTAATTATTAATTTTTTTGCACAAATGCTTAAACTAAAGCTTATAAATTTATATCTAATTAACTTGAATAAAAAATTAATCTTGATAATGTGCAACTAGTCAAAATTATCACAATGGCATTTAGGCTAGTTAATGGATTAACTTTTGATTGAATTCTGACTTATTCAAATTCGAATTAAATTTTAAAAGTCCGTTTAGATAATTTGACAATTTTTGTTTTTGTGGTCTATATCCAAATTCGTTAATAATCTGAAATTAGATTTGAAAAACTTAATTAACTAAATTNACCTTGATAATGTGCAACTAGTCAAAATTATCACAATGGCATTTAGGCTAGTTAATGGATTAACTTTTGATTGAATTGTGACTTATTCAAATTCGAATTAAATTTTAAAAGTCCGTTTAGATAATTTGACAATTTTTGTTTTTGTGGTCTATATCCAAATTCGTTAATAATCTGAAATTAGATTTGAAAAACTTAATTAACTAAATTTTAACAAATTATACCTAAATTTCTTTAAAAAATCACTTAATTTCATTAATATTTATATAAAAGTATATAAATAATTCAGATCGGATTATAATTGAATTAAATATATGTATATTTAAATCCGAACCTATGAAATATAAGATATCATATTCGAATTTNATATTTGAAAAACTTAATTAACTAAATTTTAACAAATTATACCTAAATTTCTTTTAAAAATCACTTAATTACATTAATATTTATATAAAAATATATAAATAATTCAGATCGGATTATAATTGAATTAAATATATGTATATTTAAATCCGAACCTATGAAATATAAGATATCATATTCGAATTTGGATTTGAAGGTTTGAATGTTTTTTTTTTGAGAAAATTTCAACCACACCCTCTCTAGTTTCCCATATTTTCAAGGATACCCTCCTCTATTTTCTGAATTTTCACCGACACTCCTTGTCAAATTAAAAATGTTAACAAGAATATAATTTTACTAAATTGTCCATCATATATTTGAGGACTAAATTCACTCATGCCCTTTCTAGATAAGTATATCTTCAATTAAAACCCTCTATTTTCTAAATTTTTTTACGTATTAAAATTCGGGCCGAGTAAAATTCGATTTGAGTTAATTAATATTTATTTTTTACTTATTAAGATTTGAGTCAATTANTATTAACAAGAATATAATTTTACTAAATTGTCCATCATATATTTGAGGACTAAATTCACACACGCCCTTTCTAGATAAGTATATCTTCAATTAAGACCCCCCTATTTTCTAAATTTTTTTACGTATTAAAATTCGGGCCGAGTAAAATTCGATTTGAGTTAATTAATATTTATTTTTTACTTATTAAGATTTGAGTCAATTAAAAATTATATTTTTTACGTATTAAAATTTGAGTTGAATAAAATTGTATTTGAGCCAATTAAAAATTATTTTTAATCGATTCAAATCAAAATTTAATCAACTCGCATTGAATTTTAATTGACCTAAATTTTAATATATAAAAACATATAAATTTTAATGAATCAAATTTTAATTGACATGAATTTTGATATGTAAAAAAATATAAATTTTAATTTACTCAAAAACAAATTTTAATTGACGCTAACAACTCAAGTATAGCTCAAATTGAGTCAAATTTTAATTTGTAAAAAAACAATTTAATAGGCTCGGATTTTAATACCTAAAAAAATTTAATCAACTCGAATTGAATTTTAATCCGCTCAAATTTTAATAGTTTAAAAAATATTTTAATAAACTATAATTTTAATATATAAAAAAATAAATTGTAATCGACTCAAATTTTATGTAAAAAAATTATTTGAGGTTTATATAGGGGTATTTTTGGTATTTAAGATGAATTTTTTTATTAGAAATTGTGGTTTAAAGGGAAGGGGTGTCAGTGATGTTTAAATATAAGTAAAAGGGGTATCAGTAATATTTTTAATAATAGAGGTAGTGTTTTTGAAGAAATTGTAAATTAGANACGAATTTTGATATGTAAAAAAATATAAATTTTAATTTACTCAAAAACAAATTTTAATTGACGCTAACAACTCAAGTATAACTCAAATTGGGTCAAATTTTAATTTGTAAAAAAACAATTTAATAGGCTCGGATTTTAATACCTAAAAAAATTTAATCAACTCGAATCGAATTTTAATCCGCTCAAATTTTAGTAGTTTAAAAAATATTTTAATATACTATAATTTTAATATATAAAAAAATAAATTGTAATCGACTCAAATTTTATGTAAAAAAATTATTTGAGGTTTATATAGGGGTTTTTTTGGTATTTAAGATGAATTTTTTTTATTAGAAATTGTGATTTAAAGGGAAGGGGTGTCAGTGATGTTTAAATATAAGTAAAAGGGATATCAGTAATATTTTTAATAATAGAGGTAGTGTTTTTGAAGAAATTGTAAATTAGAAAGTGTGTGAAATTTTCTCTTTTTTTTTTAAAGTCATTTTAAGGCTATATTAAGGGCAAAATAGTCAATAGAATGAAATTATTACTACACGTCGAAACGTCAGTTGTCCAAATGAGCCCAATGTCCATTTCCGTAATTTTAACCAGTGTCTGTCAGGGAACACACTGTACCTGTGACGATATTTAAATACGTCTGTGAGTCATTTCAGATCCGGGGATTCTGATTTTCAAAAGCTCTGGGGCTGAACTTCCAATGGCGTTTTGATACACGAGCGTATAGAAAGGGAGAGAGTGAGAGAAAAAATTTCACTATAACAAATCGGCATACAGAGAGAACTCTGTGGTCGCTTCAATCGATAATTTTCTCGGCTGATCAGGTATTTTACTCTCATTTTTCTGAAAAAATCAAACGGAAACAACTGAATCGGACCTGAGTCTAATGTTTCGTGTTTAGAATCTTTCGAAGTTGGTGTTTATGAATCGTTACTTTGTTAATTCTATTTTAATTTGTCATTTCTGATCGATTCTATGTGATTGATTGTGGTTTTTTATTTTTTTTGGAATGAATAGATCTGGTTGCTGAATCGGAGACTACACTGAAGAAACTTGGGAGTGACTTGGTACTTGTTGATATAATACGTTTACATATATATGTTCCAAGTATGGTTTGTGTTCACTGAGATTAATGTCGATCTGCTCAGATTTTGGTGGTTGTGGCGAAGATCTAAGATTATATGTTATTTCATAGCATTCACATCCTAAAAGAGGCACAGATCCGTTGTTATAGAGCTTCAATTCCTTGATCCTAGCTGTAGTTTGTAGATCTGGTAGTTTATAGTGAGTTGACCAAGTGATTTGGCTCAAATGGAGACGCTTCTGGTTGCACAGCATCAGCATCGGAGTAGAACTAAAAGTCATGGTCCTGCTCGATTTGGGGCATTTGAATCTCCTCCTTCCAGGGACTTTAGAGGGATTAATTGCCGATCTTTTCAATCTGGAGCAGGTATACTCCCAACCCCATTCAAGTCTTGCACTACCCCTGTAACCAAACGCCTGTCTTCGTCTACACCATCGCCTTCTTTTAATTCTCAGTCCGAAGGCAACAACAATAACAAGCACTCCAAAAAATCGGTGAAGAGTAGTGCAATTTCGATCCCTAGGAATATCAAATTTGATGTTTCTGATGAGGAGCGGTTCTTTAATGAATTTTCTTACTCTGAACTCTGGGCTGGACCCGCTTATTCTAACTCACCTCCGCCCAGTTCGTTGCCCATACCCAAGTTTTCGATCCGGCCAAAACGGACTGTCTCTCTTGATTTACCGGCTTCAATCTCTAATTTTGATTTGCATCCTATTGCTAAGTCTGCACCCCCTTCCCCTACAAGAGAGCGTAACCCTTCAACAAAAGATATATTTCACAGTGCTGACTTTGCGACTAAGACCCTACGTCGCATTCTCAATCTTGACATCGCTGATGAATGAAGTATGAGGAGCGTCTGCTGCTCCTGTAAATAAGAAAGCTACCTTGCAAGTTGGGTTAGTGGTTGATTGTAGATAGACTGAATAAATTAGTCAGTGGTGTGACTCTATTAGTTCGTTTAGTTATAATAGTGGTGGTACAACAGCAGGCTATATTTAGAGATGCAAGAACAGTGATGGCTGGGTGTTCAACGGGCTTCAGATATCTTGGAAGTTGATTTGAGTTTCTTGTGTGGATCTTCAGAAAATACATTTTGGGTGCTGCAACATGGATGCCTAATGATTAAAAGTGTTTTGAAAGCAGAAAGGGAAACTAATGTGTGGTAATTTGCTATTGGAAGTGATTTGTAGCTTCCAATCCTTTGGCATGGGTTACAAAATTATCGAATCATCCTTCTATTTGACCAGAAGAAAAACTGCATTTCAGTTGGTCGTCGAAGTATTGAATTCCATCTTCTGCATACTTCCTTAGCAGGATTGTCCATTCTCTACTTTCCTCTTCTAGATCATTTTTAGGCTTTTAGTATCATATACTTTGTATATGCTGTAGAATCTTAACTTGATCACTCACAATGATTTTTAGGTCGGTCCTTGTCTTGAACATAGTTTCTTTCTCTTCAACCGTCTAAGATAAACTTAGTTTCTTTGTGAACTTCAGTTTAACGTTTGCAGATTAGTCTCTGAATCTTCAAATTCTCTTGCTCGGTCTTCTCTTACTTTTCATACTCTTTCCTTTCCCTTTGGTGTAGATCAGGATCTGACGCATATGTCCTCCCTCTGTGAGGGTGTAGTGTCACCTTCACCATCTTTCCCGGTTTTTATGGAGGAAATATGGGAAGGGGATGTGGAACTCTTTAGGGTGTAGGTTATTGTCCGTGTTGCATTGTCCTGTTTTAAGTAGTTCCGCTGTAGCAGGTGGGTAATGCCCCCCACTTTCTGCTTGGTTCTTCTATGGTTTATTTTTGTTGGTGATCGCTGGCCATACCAAGCTATTCACCAGGTAAGGCCTTCTTATATTTGGATTTTCACTTCATGTTTATTGTTTGAAACTGTTGTTTAGGTTGTTCTAATGTCTTTTTTGCTTGATATGTGTGAACCAGTGATGAAAAGGGGAGCCAATAGAAGAAGAATTTTCATTAGGCTGTTCTCAACTGTGTCCTTGATGGGCTTGTTTCTACGAAGCAAAGTTCAATGTGGGACCATCTATGCGTTTAGTTCATGTATGTCTGCTTGTAGCAATTTATCTTTGTCTGGCTGTTTTGTAATGTGTCTTGTGTCTTGTGTCCTTTGTATCGGTGGATTTAATATGTTGTCTTGGACAAAGTTGTTCCTTAATGCAACGTGGTTTCTTTACTATTTTGAATGCTGAGATTCTTCTTTGATCATCTGCATTAGATTTGATTTGTAGGTGGGTAGACTATATGGAATGGTTTAATGTTTGTTGTGTTGGTTCTGGCAAAGGCTGTGAAATTAACCCTAGTAAATGATGTATGAGGTATAGGGAGCTTGAAGAGTGGAAGGTGCCATTTTCTGGTTTGGGTATGTGGGTTGCCACAATGTGGTGGTGTTGCCTACGGCATTGTATAGTTCTAGTTGCTTTAAATATTCATCACCACCATAGTATTGTGGCATTTTACAAGCACCGCAATCTGAAACAAGTAGAAACCAATGTTTCTGGCATTTGTGTCCTGCTCTCTCGATGCTTTCTTCACTTTTCCATTCCTGTTCCATGTACCGTGTGCCATTCCAGCTTGTTTCAATCAATAGTTAGCGCATGCAAAAGCGCTGGTGCAGGAAGTGGCTGATTCTTTTGTTGGACCATCCACTTAAGTGCCATTTTCAGACGTCGTTTGAGCTCACTTGCTTTTGAGAAGCCTGGCTAGATAACATTTGCTTTGGTAACATCTTCCTGTCTATATCATCATTTATAGTTTTCATTTTTGACTCGAGGTTCCCTTTGTGAGCAGTTTTTACTTATTTTTTTTTCTTGTAATTGGGGAAAATTTGTGATAAGGGGATTCTTGGGGCCTGTTTGGTTGTGTTCCAAAATCAGGTTTTTGTTCTTAAAACACTACTGAAGAGATGTTGTTTGGTTACAAGTTTTCAAATACAGTTTTTTAAAAAAAGTGGGAACTAAGATAAAAATTCAGAGGACACCCAAATGATGTTCTTTGTGTTTTCAAGTCAAAATAGAAAACATTGGAAATAACACAACAATTAATGTGGTCTCTTTTTTGAACTATTTTAGCAATAATACATGTCCCAGTATATAAGGGTTTTTTCGGCCTCTCTTTAAGGATGTCAATGGATTGAAGCGGGGCGAGTGCGGGGGCGAGGGGTATAGTTTTTATTCTGTATCTGCTTAAAAATCCTTCTTTTATTTTGGTCTATTTTCGTTAATGGGTATAATGTTTATCCTCATTCTCATTTGCGGGTGAATTTATAATTCCTGTTTCTGTCCTCGTTTTTACCGACCCCGCCCAAGTCGAAGCTCAAGCCCAAGTATAAGCCCAAGTCCAAGCCTAAGCTAAAGTTCAAGACAAAATAATTCAAAATTTTAAATAAATCTAACATTTTAAATAATCCAATAATATTTTAAATAATCTAACATAATCTAAAACAACATAATGTAGTATATTGAACAAAACACAAACAATAAATGTCCAAAATATTATTTAAATTTGATATAATTCAACATTACACAATATAACACAATTAACATAATGAGTGGTAGAATCATCTCAATCAACTCAATCATCTTTTAACAACAACTTCACACCAACTCAATTATCTCTTAACATCATCGGTGGTGGTATAATCTACTTCTTCAACATCATTTTTCTATATCATTAAAAGAAAAAAAAAATAGATTCTTTCAAAGAGAAATTTTCAACTAAAAAAAGATATATTTCATCATCAATATCAAGATTCTTCAATAATGTGTAGCTCTTCAGGTCCGTCAAAGTAGATGAACCTAAAAAAAATAAATTATGCATTAGTCATACTTTATTCCCCAAAAAAATTATGATGCACATATAAATAATATTTCATTACCTCGTTCTTCAACACATAACCAACTTTCAGAACACATTAAAACTTTTATTATAGTTGGAAAAAGTCTATTGCGATGTGGACTGATCACCCTCCCACTTGTGCTAAAAGTAGATTCCAAGGCAACGGTATAAACAAGAATAGCAAAAAGATTTTTAACAATCATTTGAAGCAGGGATATTTGGGACCATGTCTTCCAAAAATATAGTATATCAAAATCTGAACTTCTTGACATCATACCATCTTCTAAGTAACGATCTAACTTAGACCTCCCGCATACTTTTGTTATGTCTCTTGTTTGTATAAACTTATCAAAATCAGAAAGATCATCAATTAATGGACATTTGGAATCAATATCTAATTGAAGAGGAGAAGGAGAAGGTTGTGGTTTATAATCACTTCCTTACCTTGCTTCTAAGAAAACAAGAGCCAGATTTAAATTCCAAAATTAACTACCAAAGGTGGTCCACTGTCATCCCTAGTTATGAGCAGAATAAAATGCCAAACTCATACACATTTTGATCATTTTATATACTAGATCCAATAAGAACATACAGAGACACTTAATTAAACCAAGAGAAGTTAGTCACAAGCTCAAACCATTACAGACTAAACAGGCACACCACAATGAACCATCAAAGACATGAATTGTATATAAGCATGAGTGTCTATATCTATATATCTTTATATAAACATGTTTGTCCATGTTTAAATGAAACAGTGTAGTGGAAAATATTCATTTGATCTTCACCTACTACACCCATGTCCGAAAAATCGATGAAATGTGGAAACGAGGAAGGCCCAAATCAGCGATCAGTGATGTTGGTAGCAACAATCAACGATCAGTGATGTTCTTGAGCAAAGAATAAGTGGAGGCGGGGCGGCTGAGCAGCTGAGGATCAACGATTGACTGAGAGAAAGAGAGAGATGAATCGATGGTGGACTAGAGGTGGGCGACTGATACTTGATAGAATAAGTTAGGGCTAGGGCTTTTAACTGAGAGTATATATATATATATTTATTTATTTATAACGGGTAACGGGGACGGGGCGAGAGTAAGGATAAGTCCATCTCTACATAGATTTATACGGATATTTTCATATACGTCCACCGTCCAATACGTATAACCCATTCTTGGTCTAAACGAATACCCATTTTTTTCCGGTTCATTGCTATCCGTACCCCCCCCTCTCTCTCTCTCTCTCTATTTTAGCGAAATCAGATGACAACACACATGAGCACACACACACACGTCTTCTCTGGTAAAAAGGTTTCTTCGGCGATCGGAGATTGTCTTCTCTGACGACCGAGAGTTCTTCGACAAATCTTGGTTTTTAGATTTGGGTTTCAAATCATGGATTTTAGATCTAGGTTTCAGATTTTTAGCAAATGAGTTTGTTTTTTTCGACAACTTATTTTTAGATCTTTGTTTCTCTCTCAATTTGTTCATGTTATGGATCTAGATCGACAAATCTATTCATGTTATGGATCTTAGATTTTGGGTTTTATGTTACTTGGATTACTTTGACAAAGATTCGACAGTGCAGTTTAGTCGATTGGTATTTTTTTTTTTTGCATTTTATCAAATTTAATATATTAAAATATTTCATATGAAACAATCAATTCAAATAAGTTTTATTGTTTTTTATTTTGTGAAATTGTTTTTGGAATCATCTAACCAAACAAATTTTTCGTCTTAGAAAACATCAAAACACATTTTTGTAAAATCTTTTAAAAAATTATTTTTGGTTATTATTTTTTGAGATATAATCCAAACACGCCCTTACTTTCTAAACAGGTCTTCCTACATCTATATACAAACGTTGATTTATCAAGAATAAGCAAGAAAAACACTTTGAATTGTTAATTAATCGCTAGAGATGGACTTAGAACCAGTAATTCATTATTTAATGAATCTTTTTGTTCTAATACTCTATCCGAGAGCTATCAAGTTTTATCAAATCTGTTCTTATCTAATTGAACGCTAATGGATCAAATGACATATATTATTGAGAAGGGTTGTAAGAATGGAGCTCAAATGCTTTACAAACACAAATTTCTACTTGGTATTCAGTGACTGCTTTAAGATTAGAAGGTATCATAATCAGATGATTCAACGTTGAATTCCCAGATTGTGAGGTAATAGAAAGTATGTATGACACTTAATAGAATATTGGGGTCGTGCACTCGCTTAGAAATAGGCACAAAGAGAAAGATGTGCAAGCAAAAAGAAATTAGAATAGATAAATCAGATAAGGAGTCAAGAACAACGAACAAGGAAGTTATGAGAGATTATTATAGTTGTTCCAAGTTACATTTATATAAGGGAGCTGAAAGGCATTGTCGATGGACATATAAATACCCCTTATTGTTCCCGAGGGGTAGAGTAGTCTAGTTTAGCCGAAAGATGGTTGTTGGTTCAAGTTACTACATATATGATCTTTGCTTCTCAAGGACACTCGACAAGCTATTGTTTAGGTACGAGATGTACAACATTGAAGTAACCCATGACAGACTCTGATCAAACCATCTTCAACAAAATTTTACATAAAATTGGCAAAATATTGTACACTTAGATGAAACAATTGAAAGTATCTGTACACATTTGTTTTGGTTGTGTGGTTTGTACACGATGAAGNAGCATGAGTGTCTATATCTATATATTTTATATAAACATGTTTGTCCATGTTTAAATGAAACAGTGTAGTGGAAAATATTCATTTGATCTTCACCTACTACACCAATGTCCGAAAAATCGATGAAATGTGGAAACGAGGAAGGCCCAAATCAGCGATCAGTGATGTTGGTAGCAACAATCAACGATCAGTGATGTTCTTGAGCAAAGAATAAGTGGAGGCGGGGCGGCTGAGCAGCTGAGGATCAACGATTGACTGAGAGAAAGAGAGAGATGAATCGATGGTGGACTAGAGGTGGGCGACTGATACTTGATAGAATAAGTTAGGGCTAGGGCTTTTAACTGAGAGTATATATATATATATTTATTTATTTATAACGGGTAACGGGGACGGGGCGAGAGTAAGGATAAGTCCATCTCTACATAGATTTATACGGGTATTTTAATATACGTCTACCGTCCAATACGTATAGCCCATTCCTGGTCCAAACGAATACCCATTTTTTTCTGGTTCACTGCCATCCCTACCCCCCATTTCTCTCTCTCTCTCTATTTTAGCGAAATCAGATGACAACACACATGAGCGCACACACACACGTCTTCTCTGGTAAAAAGGTTTCTTCGGCGACCGGAGATTGTCTTCTCTGACGACCGAGAGTTCTTCGACAAATCTTGGATTTTAG